ATCTAGTCCAACCCCCTGCTCAGGCAGGAAACCCTATACCATTTCAGACAAATGGCTGTCCAGTCTCTTCTTAAAAACTTCCAGTGTTGGAGCATTCACCGCTTCTGGAGGCAGGTTGTTCCACTGGTTAATTGTTCTCACTGTCAGGAAGTTTCTCCTTAGTTCTAGGTTGCTTCTCTCCTTGGTCAGTTTCCATCCGCTGCTTCTTGTCCTGCCTTCAGGCGCTTTGGAGAAGAGCTTGACTCCCTCTTCTTTGGGGCAGCCCCTGAGATACTGGAACACGGCTATCATGTCCCCCCTCGTCCTTCTCTTCGTTAGATTAGACTTCCTTGTTTCTTTTCCTTGGAAAGTGTTTCCCTGCCCACCCAAGAGGTTTCTTCAGTTCTCTGAAGCCTCTCGGATGAGAAGGGAAAACTTTTCAAAGGAAAAAAAAAAAAACCCAAGAAAGTCCAGTTGCCTTTTGTTAAAAAAAAAAACAAAAAAAACCCACCTTTGGGGCAGCCAAGTAATTAGCAAACTCCCAATCTCACGGAATCAAATTCCAAAGTCGAATTATATGTTGGGTAAGGAAAAGAAAAAAAAACTTTCCTGTTGTCTGCCCTGGTTTTTCCAACATTCAATTTCATGGGTTGAGGTCGGGTTCTACAATTTGGGAAACTAAAACAAAAAAACAAAAAAAAAACCAACTTCCCCCTGTCCATTTTTATCAAAAAACATGCCTAATTCTGGAGATCACCATTAAAAGTCCCTGCAAATTTGCCATCCTGCTAGAATTAAGGGGGGGGAGCCCAAATATTGCAATCTTTACTCATAGGGAAGCTGTTGCAGCCCCTGTAGTAGTAACGGTATAACGGAGTTTGAAGGGACCTTGGAGGTCTTCTAGTCCAACCCCTGCTCACGCAGGAGACATATTATTTCTGACAAATGCCCGTCCAGTCTCTTCTTAAAAATCTCCAGTGACGGAGCACCCACAACTTCTGGAGGCAAGGAATTCCACTGGTGAGTTGTTCTAACTGTCAGGAAATTTCTCCTTATTTCTAGGTTGATTCTCACCTTGATTAATTTCTATCTGTTTCTTCTTGTCCTGCCTTCAGCCACTTTGGAGAATAGGTTGACCCCGTCTTCTTTGGGGCAGCCCCTCAAATATTGGAAGACTGCTATCGTGTCACCACTAGTCCTTAATTTAACTAGACCTACTCAATTCCAGCAACCGTTCTTTGTATGTTTTAGCCTCCGGTCCCCTAATCCTCTTTGTTGCTCTTCTCCGCACTCTTTCCAAAATCTCAACATCTGTTTTTGTATTGGGGTAACCAAAACTGGATGCAGTATTCCTAGTGTGGTCTTAGTAAGGCTTTACAAAGTGTTACTATTACTTCCCGTGATCTTGATTCTACCCTTCTGTTAATGCAGCCTGTATTGTATTAGCTTTTTTGGCTGTTTGCCGCACACGCACCCCATCTCAGTTGTGGTCCTACAGACTTTCTCTAGCTTCACTACATCCCTTTTGAGGGGGTGTCAACCACCGCTGGACATAATATTACTACTTACTTACACACCTTGAGGAACCATTTGCCTGCATTTAGTCTTTCCAGATCTGTCCAGTTGAAGGTGGAGGAATGATCGTAAGCTAGTTCTGGAAATACTTCCTCGACGTTGGTTGTTCTTCGCAAAGTCTGGTCGTGCATAAGAAAAGGCACTCCGTCGTAACTGTGAACAGAAGAACACAAGAATGTAATAATAATTATCCTGCTGGGTCAGATATATAGAATAGAGCTGGGAGGGACCTTGGAGGTCTTCTAGTCCAGCCCCCTGCTCAAGCAGGAAAACCTCTATCATCTCAGACAAGTGACTGTCTAGCCCAAGGGTAGGCAACCTCGGCTCTTTTATGACTCGTGGACTTCAACTCCCAGAATTCCTGAGGCAGCCATGCTGAGGGGAAAGGGAAAGATTTCCAAGCTGAGCCATGCTGGCTCAGGAATTCTGGGAGTTGAAGTCCACGAGTCATGAAGGGGCCATAGTTCCCCCATGCTGGCTCAGGAATTCTGGGAGTTGCAGTCCACGAGTCATGAAGGGGCCACAGTTCCCCCATGCTGGCTCAGGAATTTTGGGAGTTGAAGTCCACGAGTCATGAAGGGGCCATAGTTCCCCCATGCTGGCTCAGGAATTCTGGGAGTTGAAGTCCACGAGTCATGAAGGGGTCATAGTTCCCTCATGCTGGCTCAGGAATTTTGGGAGTTGAAGTCCACGAGTCATGAAGGGGCCACAGTTTCCCCATGCTGGCTCAGGAATTCTGGGAGTTGAAGTCNCTTCCAGGGTGACGTTGACCGAAGTGCCGAAGTAGGGGTGGTCTTCGGGCAGGCCTTGAAGGTTCAAGAGGACGGTGGCGTTGCCCTTGACCATCTCTAGCATCTCGGTCAGTCTGCAGACCGACTGATTGGCGGCTTTGACGAAGTCAGACGGGGAAAGGGAGCTGACTGTCCAGAAGGGGTCATTCTGTGGAAAGAAAGGGCGAACGTCGCACTTTCAAGACGGCAGGTATGATTTGACAAATCAGGTGGACAAATGTCATCCAGATCATGGTTGCCCCAAAGGTGATTTTTTCCCCCCAAAAGGCAACTGGGACTATAATAATAATAATAATAATAATAATAATAATAATAATAATAATAAAGTTGGAAGGGACCTTGGAGGTCATCTAGTCCAACCCCCTGCTCAGGCAGGAAACCCTATATCAGGGGTCTTCAAATAATAATAATAATAATAATAATAATAATAATAATAATAATAATAATAATAATAATAATAATAATAATAATGATGATGATGATGATGATGATCATCATCATCATCATCATCATCCTCTTATATTTTAAGGAGGTACCTCGTTGACACCTAGGATGCTGGTAGCAACCCGTGTCAACCATTAGCACCAGTCAATTTGAATGTTCAGTTGACTGAGGTTCACGTCTAATGAATAAAAGATAATAATAATAATAATAATAATAATAATAATAATAATAATAATAATAATAATAATAATAATAATAATAATAATAATAATAATAATAATAATAATAATAATAAAGTTGGAAGGGACCTTGGAGGTCATCTAGTCCAACCCCCTGCTCAGGCAGGAAACCCTATACCATTTCGGATAAATGGCTATCCAGTCTCTTCTTGAAAACTTCCAGTGTTGGAGCATTCACCGCTTCTGGAGGCAGGTTGTTCCACTGGTTAATTGTTCTCACTGTCAGGAAGTTTCTCCTTAGTTCTAGGTTGCTTCTCTCCTTGATGAGTTTCTATCCGTTGCTTCTTGTCCTGCCTTCAGGGGCTTTGGAGAATAGCTTGACTCCCTCTTCTTTGGGGCAGCCCCTGAGATATTGGAAGACTGCTATCATGTCTCTCCAATCTTTCTCTTTGTTTGAGTAACAGAATAACAGAGTTGGAAGGGACCTTGGAAGTCATCTAGCCAACCCCCTGCTCAGGCAGGAAACCCTATACCATTTCAGACAAATGGCTGTCCAGTCTCTTCTTAAAAACTTCCAGTGTTGGAGCATTCACAGCTTCTGGAGGCAGGTAGTTCCACTGGTTAATTGTTCTCACTGTCAGGAAGTTTCTCCTTAGTTCTAGGTTGCTTCTCTCCTTGATGAGTTTCCATCCGTTGCTTCTTGTCCAGCCTTCAGGCGCTTTGGAGAATAGCTTGACTCCCTCTTCTTCGGGGCAGCCCCTCAAATATTGGAAGACTGCTATTGTGTCACCACTAGTCCTTAATTTAACTAGACCTACTCAATTCCAGCAACCGTTCTTTGTATGTTTTAGCCTCCGGTCCCCTAATCCTCTTTGCTGCTCTTCTCCGCACTCTTTCCAAAATCTCAACATCTGTTTTTGTATTGGGGTAACCAAAACTGGATGCAGTATTCCTAGTGTGGTCTTAGTAAGGCTTTACAAAGTGTTACTATTACTTCCCGTGATCTTGATTCTACCTTTCTGTTAATGCAACCTAGCACTGTGTTGTATTAGCTTTTTTGGCTGTTTGCTGCACACGCACCCCATCTCAGTTGTGGTCCTACAAACCTTCTCTAGCTTCACTACATCCCTTTTGAGGGGGTGTCAACCACCGCTGGACATAATATTACTACTTACTTACACACCTTGAGGAACCATTTGCCTGCATTTAGTCTTTCCAGATCTGTCCAGTTGAAGGTGGAGGAATGATCGTAAGCTAGTTCTGGAAATACTTCCTCGACGTTGGTCGTTCTTCGCAAAGTCTGGTCGTGCATAAGAAAAGGCACTCCGTCATAACTGTGAACAGAAGAACACAAGAATGTAATAATAATTATCCTGCTGGGTCAAATATATAGAATAGAGCTGGGAGGGACCTTGGAGGTCTTCTAGTCCAGCCCCCTGCTCAAGCAGGAAAACCTCTATCATCTCAGACAAGTGACTGTCTAGCCCAAGGGTAGGCAACCTCGGCTCTTTTATGACTCGTGGACTTCAACTCCCAGAATTCCTGAGCCAGCCATGCTGAGGAGAAAGGGAGAGGTTTCCAAGCTGAGCCATGGTGGCTGAGGAATTCTGGGAGTTGAAGTCCACGAGTCATGAAGGAGCCAAAGTTTCCCCCATGCTGGCTCAGGAATTCTGGGAGTTGCAGTCCATGAGTCATGAAGGGGCCATAGTTCCCCCATGCTGGCTGAGGAATTCTGGGAGTTGAAGTCCAC